AAAAACAAACAGAAAGATCACTAATTGGGAAAACATTTTCTCACACAAAAGTAGCGATAAAGGACTGATCACAAAAATATACGGAGAACTGATGAAACTCAACAAAAATAAAGTCAACAACCCCATCAAAAAATGGGCAGTAGAGCTAAAAAGACACTTCTCCAAAGAGGAAATGCAGATGGCCAACAGGCATATGAAAAAATGCTCAACATCACTCGTAATAAGGGAGATGCAAATTAAAACCACAATGAGATACCATCTCACCCCAGTGAGAATAGCACATCTTCAAACAACTAGCAACAACAAATGTTGGCAAGGAAAGGAACTCTCCTGCATTGCTGGTGGGAATGCAAACTAGTACAACCACTATGGAAAACTGCTTGGAGGTTCCTCAAACTGCTAAACATGGAGCTTCCCTAAGACCCAGCAATCCCACTCCTAGGTATCTACCCAAAAGACACAAAAACACTGATTGAAAAAGATACCTGCACCCCCATGTTTATTGCTGCTTTATTTACAATTGGAAAAACATGGAAGCAGCCCAAATGCCCAAAAGTAGATGACTGGATTAGAAAGATGTGGTACATATATACAATGGAATATTACTCAGCAACCAAAAAAGAGAAACACATGTCTTTTGCAGCAACTTGGATGGAGCTGGAAAAGATCATGCTTAGTGAGATAAGCCAGAAAGAGAAAGAAAAATACCGGATGGTTTCACTCATAGCAGGAGTATAATGGACCAGGCGAGAAAATAACAAAAATAATGAACAACCATATACCAGAGACATTCTGTGGGGGTGGAGTGGGGAATGGGATCAAAAACGGGGGGTGGGGGAGAAAGGAGGGAAATGCACGGGACTATGGTGGTGGCACAGGGGTGATTTGATGATGGGAAACCCACGGGGATTACAATCGAGATGGAAAAAAAAAAATGTGCAAAATGATGTAAAAATAAACTTTGTAATAAATAAAAAAAACTCATTTCATTAGCATATAGTGACTTCTGATAAATAAAATGATATTCTCCATAAACAAAAAACAAAGAAACAAAAAAGCAGTGTGGAGGCTCCTTCAGTGATTAAAAATGGATCTGCCATAGAACACAGCAATTTCACTCTGAAGTGGAGGGAAAATAAAATAACCACAGAGGGTAGCAGAGAAAGGTTTTCTTCTTCTGTGATAGTTTGGGAAATGAGTTTTGTCTTGGAAAAGGGGTTAAAACAGGAAATACCTTTAGGAATTGTTTGTTTAATACTTTCACCTTGTATTTAAACCAGACTCAATTAGCAAAGGCAACATAAGGATAATGGGTGTCCCAGACAGAAAAGAGATAGAAGGAAATGGAAAACCTATTCAAAGAAATAATAGCTGAGAACTTCCCAAGCCTGGGAAATGAATGAAATCTACAAGTCCATGAAGCTAACAGAATATCTGTTTATCCAAATGTAAAGAGATCTATACGAAGACAAAACAAATTTAGTGAAACTACCAAGAATCCAAGGCAAAGAAAGCATATCAAAAAAAGGCTGGAATAGAAGAGGAAGCAGCAAGGATGTGTAGGAAAAGTAACTTCCTACACTGCTGGTAGAAATAAAAATTAGTCTAACCACTATGGAAAGCTGTGTGGAGTTTCCTTAGACTACTAAAAGTGGAACTTCCATGTTACCCAGCAATCCCATTCCTAGGGATCTACCCAAAAGAGACAAAAACATTTATCCAAAGGTTACAAGCACATCTATGTTTATTGCAGCATTATTTATACCAGGTAAGACTTGGAAACAACTTAAATGCCCCAAAATAGATGACTAGGCCAAAAAGATGTGGTACATATACATAATGGGTACTATTCAGAAAAAAAAAAAGACAATCTAATGCCTTTCGCATTTAGGCATGGATGGAGCGAGAAGGAAGTATGCTCAGAGAAATAATGCAGAAAGGAAAAGAGAAATATCGGATGGTCTTGCTTATAGGAAGAATAGAGGAGAACTAAATAAGGGATGGAGTGGGGGGAAATGACAATTAAAACAACAAAAATAATCAGACAACTAAGGGGAAGGGAGAGAGATCAAAACAAGGGTGGTAATGGCACCAGGGACTAAGGTGAACTGGTGATGAGAATTCTTTGGGGACTACATCTGATGTAAAATCTATACAAAAAAAGATATTAAATTTTTAAAAACTGGACTGAGGTTTTGAATCACTTTGAAGGGTGATTGGAAGCCTTTGGGGGTCTTTTAAGTTAATGATGTAATAATGTGTGTTTCATTTATAAATTAAAAATGGTGGTCTGCTTTGCTCAAAAGTAAGTATAAGCCAAGATTGGGAGGCTGTCACACTGAGGGAAGCTGGTGGCTGGACCAGAATATCTGTTGAGAAGGTGAAAGGCGGCAGGCCACCTCGGGCTCACATTTGACTCAGAATTGTGAAAACTTGCTTTCCTTCAGGGACTAGAACTGCTGAACTGCCCCCACACTCTCCTGAGTGCTAGCGGCGTGGTGCATGCCTGTGTGCTTGGCTCACTTTGAACTCACTGGATTCAAAGATTCCCAGGCATGGCCTTTGTGCTCCTACACCTCACCCAATCGATCAGGGAGGGCTGCCGCATACTCAGATGGCTGCTTTTCTTTCCTCGAATTTGCAGAAACTAATAAACAAAAATCCCCACTAAAGTCTCATTTTTACCTAGGGAAGGATAATAATGGAGGTGGGGGGCATGTGTGGGGGGGTGGGTAAAGAGGCTCTCTTTTCTGTCCTAGGAAACTGGACACCTAGAGCTATACGTATCTACAAGAAGATTAAATTAATCAAGAATTATCAGAGTTGACCTGAGGGTTCAAAAGTGTGAAGCCAAAAGAGCACAGGGCAGGTTTTTCCCCGTCCAGCGGGGATTTCTGGGAGATTCTGGGCACCGGGGCAGATCTCTGAGTGGATCCAGGCGGGAGGGCAAAAGTCGCGCTACAGCTTTACTTTCCGACCCACCCCGCCCCCACCGCAGCCAAGGACCAGCGGACGCCAGGGTGCACCCTGACAGCTACTCCTCCTGGGCGCGCCCGCAAACTCTCCTAAGAGACCGACCTGAAATAACCATTTCCCGAAGGTTAAATAAACCCTTCAAGGCACTCGCTGTGACTCGACCCGTCCACCCCGGCCCGGAAATAAATTTTCAGACCATCCTTAGGTAGTGTAGAGCTAACTCAGTTCTCAGCAAAGGGTAGAGCAAGAGAGCTGTTGGCCAAACTGGAAGAAGCTGGTCTGGAAGACTGAAGGTCCTGCGGTCGCGGGCTGGCGGGAGGCAGGGCTCCATGCAAAGTGATCTCCCCGCGGGCGCGCGCTGCTCACTCACTCACCTAAAGACTCACCTCCCTTTACACTCCAGGCCTATTTTGGTCTTTTAAAAGGCATTCCACGAAGTTTGGTGAATAACAGAGGGTGACAATCTATTTTGACAGCCACAAAGACGCTTCCCTACCGTGCCTGGTCCTTGGAAAATGACTGCTAAGGAATCTTGCCCTGATTACAGAGGCTTTAATCATTGAGCATCTGGTTCTCCCGCTGAAATTGCTGTCAGTGAGGGTACCTGCTTCAAAGTCTAGTTTCAAAGCTGTTCCCCAAAGTTTGGTTCAACAACGGAGAGCAGCACCTCGGGAGAGCAGCACCTCATGTTTGAACAAGTTAAACCATATAAAATGCTGCGAGAAGCACCTGGCACCCACCAACGACTCAATAAAAACTATTGTTGCCAATAATATTCGTTCAAGCCGTTTCCCTAAGAAATTACTGTGTCGTGTTTTTGTATTTACGATGGTGTCTCTTTGTACATTGTGAACTTCTGTGTTTTATTTCTCTTATGCATCTGAGAGCCAGAGGCTCTGTTGAGCTCAATACTAGTCAGTGATTCAAACAGAATGACAAAGATCACAGAAATAGAAAAAGGATGCTGAAATAAATGACAAATGAAATCTGGGTCTCCTTTACCTCTTCACTATCTACTGTTTACTTTGTTACTGTCTTCACAGCATCCAGCCATTTTTTTTTTTTGCTTGGTCCCTGACATTGCTGGGAACAGGATCCAGCTAGTCAGCAAGCAAAATTCAAAATCAATTTTGATATCAGCTGCCACCCCCCCCCAAGATTGGGGCATCATATGGTCACACAGAAAGCCATGTGAGCAGATTTATTTGTGAATTTATTATCTTCAAGTGCCACTACCCAAACACTGAACCAGTATAACAGTGAAAAGAACTACCATTTGCTGAGCACTGAGTACATTGTGCTTAAGACATTTTTCTGGGCTATCATACTTTTTTCATCACATCATTTTGGACCATTTGAGTTTTCTTTTTAGCTATTGTAGAGCAATGAGTTTTTCTTTTTAGCCATCCATCTCCTATCTTTTGCACTCTTCCCTTCCTGTTTTGACCCCTCTCACTCCTCCCCTGCCAAGTGTCTCAGATCTATGGTCAGCTTTATGCTTAAGATTTTCATAATTACTTCCTGCATTTAATCCGCTTTACAAGATAGTATGATTTGTTATTATCATCTTACCAGGTTAAAAATGAAACAACTAAGGCATAGAAAAATGATGGGGGGCTACTCCCTGAAGATCCCAGCACAGTGAAGTCTTAAAATTTAAACCCATGTTCATAATTCTCCAAAGCTGACCAGTCAAGCAGACTATGGCGACTCTGCCCAGGTCAAAAGCACAAAGACCACAGTGCCCATTCTCTGTGGACAAGAATGCATAGCGTCTCCTGTGCCTCGGTCTCTGGTCATTCCCACACACAACATAGCAGCTGAGGCAACCAGTTATTGATTGGATTTCTACGGATATTCATCCTCTGTTAAGATTAGACTTGGACTTTTAGGCTTTGCTCCTCCTCCACCTCTCCTGTAATATGTAACTAGAAGCCTGGAGAAAGACAGGCAAGGCTGGTCAGCTGCTCTGAGCTGCACTCACTCAAGAACCTGGAATAAGAGGAGGACTCCCAACCTACAGAATGACAAAAGATAAGGTAAAACAGCATTGTGTTCATTTTGAATCTGGCTTTGAGGAAAAGAATAGAGCATCAATTCAACTCAGTCAGCATATGGAGGATTTGGGGACTTTGCTGTCACAGATCAAAGCTACTTCACTTTCCTTGGTCAGTTAACAGTTCATTTGACTGTTAAGAAAATCATATTTGTTACTCAGTAATTGGGTTTTTAAGGCTATTTGCCCTATTTTCTGACTAGTGAATCTGTATAATCAAATCACTGAAGGAATGTACAAACAAGAGTAGATTAATCTGAATCCATGTAATCATGAAAACCAGTGGGAAATCTTCAAAAATGTCAGTGAATAAAAAATCACTGGTGACTAAGATGAATTGACAGTTAAATTAACAAGTGATATTAGATTCTAGAAAGAAAAAGAAAAGTCTAAGAAACAACATGAGACAGGATATGTTGAAAATGGGTTGTATATTAGATAAGATTACTGCCTCTGTTGCATTCTTAGGTAAAATAATGGCATTTATATTTGGAGGAAAATGTCTTTGCTCTTAATGAGTTAAAGTATTTAGGGGTAAAGTGACACACATATCTGCAACTTATTTTGAAACGATTCGGCCAAAACCACACACACACACACGTGTGTGTGTGTGCGGAAAGGTATAGTTGTTCCTTATAGGTTTCCAACTAAACACACTGTCCCCTGAACACAAAAGCATTGGTAAACTTTGTCCCTGTTAGAGTAGGAATTCAGATTGTGATCAGTGTAATTTACTCTGCTATGCATTCCTTCATGACACTAAGTGACAAGGTGGAAGCAAGGGCTTTATAGTCTGTCGCTTGGATTTGGGATCTGATGATCTACTTAACAACTGTGAGACCAGGGATCTTATAATGACCTGAGGGTCTAAATGACCTCAGGTTCTTGCAGTGTGACAATGTAAAATCTTAAAACATGAAATCTAATGGACATACAGAAATTATAATAGTTGTTTACAATATGGGAGAATTTATATAAGATGATATCAGAAAGACTCAGGTAAACATAATAATACTAACACTTATATATTAATATACTGTGCATTTAAAGAATGGTGAGGAGTCATGGTTTCCTATTATAACCCAGGAGAAAGCTAAAGTAGATAGAATTTTAAAGAAAATTTAAAGACAATACTAACTTAATAGCTATACAGATAGTATGTAGATTTGGCTAACAGCGTAAAAGTAGTATACAAGTAGCAGAAGTTGGAAGATCCTGATAAAGGAAAGGGATTGTGCATGCTGTGGTGCCTGGCACTCAGCAGATGCTCAAGCTTCATTTAGAAGTATCATTTAATCCATTGGGAAAGATTTGAAATTGTGTTGTAAGACTTTTCTTGAGAACCAAGAAATGACCTAATAATCGACTCTAGAAAGAAAGAGACAGTATTCTGTCTTTGTAAACTCACACTGAAGGAAGTGGAAAAGCCTGGTTCTGGGAGTCAGGAGAATCTGGATATTCCCAAAAATGTGTAGCATAACTAGAAAAGGGACTTGGAACTCTTTTTTTTTTTTTAATGAGAAATGAAGAGATCATTTTTATGCCCTATCTGCTCATTGTTTCACTCAGTAATAGAATAATGGGTTTTCATTATTTTATTTTTATTTATTATTTTCTTACAACATTGTTCATTTTTGGACAGTATTTGATTTCTCCCCTCAGGTGTAGTCCCTGTAGTTCTCCCACCACCACAGCACCTGTGATCTGTCACCACAGTCCCTTGTGCTCTTCCTTCCCCTGTTTTGACTCCTCCCCCTTCTCCTCCCCTGCTGTATGCCTCAGATCTTTTTTCTGACTCTTTGTTGAGTTTCTGTATATTCCAAATATAAATGAAACTATCCCATGTCTACCTTTTTCCTTTTGACGTTTTTGCTTCATGTATTCAAAAAAAAAAAATGAAGACATTAGACTAGATTCCATTACTCTTTATGATTCCTCACAGGTTGAAATTTCTGTGGTTTGAGAGAAATCAAATTGGATGCCAAATCACTTGAGTGTGGGCATTTGGAGGTATGAATTAAAGGAAAGGGTATAAATTTCTTCTAAGTCAATTGTTAGCTGCTGAAAATCTGTTTTTGTGTTTAGCAACTAGAGTTTCGAAACATCAGTTCTGGGTCCCAATATCAGCACACCCATTACTTACCAGCTGCATATTGGTGTACCACTTAATTTTCTCTCAACTCCAGTTTCCTTGACTATAATATGGAGATAATTTCATGTGCTTTGTAGTACTCTTGTGAGGATAATTACGGTATATGCAAAGATTACAGGTGGCTTTTTGACAGGAGTGACGAATGAAATGAAAGTGATATGATTAAAGAAGCAATTGCTTTATTGTTCTTCACTATAGGGAAACTATGTTATAGATCTTATTTAGTCTTCAAAATAATCCTATGTAGTAAACTATTCTTATACTCCTATGGTGGACAAAGAAACTGAAGCTCAGGGGTGTTAAGAAGTGTGATGGGACTGGATCCTAAGGTTTTCTGACTCCCAAGTATATTTATTTTGATCAAAGGACTCCATTTAACTTGTTTACCACAAAATAAACATCATATTTGTTAAGGTTCAGTCATTTGCCTGTTCCACATTTGTTCAGGAGCACATTTCTAATTGAGGATGGTCTGAAAGTATTGGATATGGAACCTAATTTCCCTAACTTAAAATTATTAAGCTTAACTCAAAGTAGTCATTCTGAAAATGCAGGCTTAATGTTTGCAGTCTATAAAGAGTTTAAAAGACTTGATGACTTAAATGGACTTTAGAGCTCTCTTTTTTTTTCCTTTCTGAATCAGTGTTCCCATGTGTAAAATGACAATAATAATTCTTGCCTAAGGATTATTGTGAGAACAAGCAAAACATATGGAACCCAGAGCCTGGGTAGTGTAAATTCCTCTCTAAATTCTCAGGTTTCATTAACACCTAGTTATCATCCCTTGAATCAGCCTCTTACACATTGCATTAAATGGATGAGGCTAATTGATGGGGTAATTCAGATTTAGTAGTTTTGAGAATTTTTTTCTCTCATAAACACAACTTTCTCAGAGCAAATCTAGTACCACACAACATGGATGGCTGACTATAAATGTTTTCTGCTTTTGCTTAGCAAATGGAAAAGAAAAGCTAGGAAACAAAGAGCCAGTTGAAGATGCAATTCAGAGAGGAAATTAAACCTGAAAAAAAAAAAAGGAGTTAAACCGGGAAAAAGGGAAATGCAATCAAAATAGCTTCAGGCAGTTTCATATTTGAAACAGTCACTTTATTTGGGAAATTCAAGTGACATGCTCAAATTTGATGAGATTGGTTTTTTTTCTGAACTGGGTGAAATCTATTTCAGAAAATTAAAGTGGGGAACTGCAGGGGCTCAATGGCAGGAATAGAACCACGTATGAAAAAGAAGCTAGGAAAACCAGACCACTAGGACTTTAAAAACACTCCATGATTATAAACTAAAAATTCTATCTCTTTCACTGTTGCTATTCTTGTTATCCCTGTAACTTGAGAAATTGCTCTTAGAGGCAGATCCCATATTTCTATAGTAATGACTTAGAGTGATTTGATTGGAATGTAATGGAGCGAGAGCCCTGGAGAACTTCTACTTCTGAAAATTAGCTTTCATTTTTATCAAAGCAATGAAGAAACAGCTGACACTGCAATGATTTAGATTGTGTATTTAGAGTGGTGGGGGAAGAGGTTGAAGGACATTATGGGAGACCAAATCTACTGCAGCCACCACTTTACCCCTACTTTTTTTTTTTTT